GATCACTGTATGTGAAAAACATACCTTCACGAAGTAATAGTATAATACATTCTAATTAAATTATCGGATTTAATATGGGTGGCGTAGGGGATGATAGATACCAAGCAACGGCTCTGATTGGCTTTAACATTGCGAAGTCCAGGCTTATCTTGGTCCCTCTTTCCTCTCAATTGTGGATACTGACCAACCCGCGGTATCACCTGGGGAGTTATTTTCATCATCGGTTGAAATAGTGAGCTGATATGTGACGCGAGTTCACCCATAAGAACTATAAAAAATGGGTTGAGGCGTCGGGTTGCCCACACTCGGAAAACCCCTCCTACTATGAAAAAGCTAAGAAATAGAAAACACCTAATGTTGACTACCTCCGCAAACGTAAAAAGATCCACGATCTGCGAATATGCACTTGGAATGAGTGCACGTTGTACAGAACAGGCGCAGTTTTCGCTTTGGCGGATGTACTCAAGATGTACAAAGCCGATATTATTGCCTTACAGGAAATGCGATGGAAAGGGGCTGACGTAAGTAAATCTGATAATTACGCACTGTATTATAGCTGCCATGAAACGAGACATGAATTTGGCTGCGGATTTATGGTTAATAGGAGAATAAAAGGCCTCGTCTCCAGATTCACTCCAGTAGATAAGCGAATTGCTATAATCCGGATAAAAGCGAAGTTCTTCTACATTCTGATCTTTGGTCTGATCATATTTTACGAGCGCCTAGAAACAGCATATGATCGCTGCCCTGACCATGACATTAAAATTCTGCTAGGAGATTTTAATGCAAACATCGGAAGAAAAAATATCTTTGGCCCCACTGTCGAAAAATTCAGCCTTCATGAAGAAACATCCGACAATGGCATGAGGTTGATTGACTTCGCGGCAGCAAAAAGTGTGGTGTTAGCAGCACCAGATTCAAGCATCTCGATATACACAATGCCACCTGGATTTCTCCCGAACGAACAACGAGAATTCAAATTGATCATGTTGTGATAGACGGAAGGCATTCGTCCAGTGTTTTAGACGTCCGATCGTTCCGAGGAGCGAATATCGATTAATGTAGCAGCAAAGGTGCGATCTAATTTAACACGGAAATTTGACGTCGAAAAGCTGCAAACAAAACAAGTAGCAGAAGCCTACTCCGCTCAACTTACCCAACTGCTTGACGAAAGCATACTATTGTCCTGATAATGGTATAGAAGCACAATGGTAAAGAATTGCCCACTCCCTACAAACTGCAGCAAAAGCAACACTTGGTACGATCAGGAGTGTCGTAATGCTACTGATGTGAAAAACACAGCGTATAGGGCAACCCTGCAGACAGTAGCAACACGTAATGTGATGGAGAATTATCGGTACAGAAGGAGAGAGGAGAAACGCGTTTTCAGAAAAAAAGAAAGAACAAGAAAAAGGTGAGGGTGAGCAAATCGAGATGTACAGGAGTCAGAATGAAATCCGAAAATTTTACCAACGAGTAAAACACCAAACAGAAGGTTTTGGTGCAGGCACATCTTCCTGTAGATGAAGACGGAAACATGGTAACAGATACAGACAGCGTGTTGAGGATCTGGAAGGAGTATTTTGAAAAGCTTCTGGTATCAAATAGTGGAGGTGAAGAGGGTACCACAGAACCAATAAGAGATGGCAGTATAGAGTGTCAAGATGAGGTCAGAGTAGCAATAATTCGGTTGAAGAACAATAACGCAGCAGTTGCCAATGGATTACCAGCCAAACTATTCAAGACCGGTGGTCAAATGCTGGTCAAGGGGCATGCACCAACTCATTTGTACAACTTAGCTAGAGGAAAGCATGCCCAATGTTTGGAACCTCTGCATCCTGTGTCCCGTGCTCAAAAAAGTTGACAAGACGATGTGTGTCAACTATAGAGGACTAAGTCTCCTTCACTTCGTATATAAAGTGCTATACAGCGTACTGTGTGAACGATTGAAGCCAATGGTCAATGTTATTATTGCACCATACCAATGCGGCTTACGGCCTGGCAAAAACTCATGAAAAACACATCGACACATTCCACCTATTCGTCGACTATAAAGCCGCATTAGACAGCCCTATCCGTTCTGCGTTCTACATTCCTGCAAACTTAATGCGGCTATGTAGGAAAACTTAACCTGGCACAATATCAGTAGTTAAAGTCGTGAAGGGCCTCTCGGAGCCCTTCACTATCGAACGAGGTTTCAGACAAGGTGACAGTTTGTCGTGTGACCTGTTTTACATCCTGCTGGAAAATGTCATACGAAAATGTCAAACAGCATATTTTATTCGCCTGCGCCGATGACATCGGTATAATGTGTAGAATATTGCGAGCGGTAACAGCAGCCTTTGAACGAATTGAGAAAGAGTCTGCCAAAGTTGAACTGGCAATAAATGGCGAGAAGACCAAGCTGATGGTATCAACGGGCAAAACTAAACCTTCGAGGTAGTCAAAGATTTTATATACCTTGGTACTTTGGCCATAAATAAAACGAATGACATCAGTTTTGAAATTCTGTGAAGAATAATGTTGACCAACAGATGCTAATATGGTCTCAGTAAGTAATTCAAGAATAAGGCCACCTCTTGCCAGATCAAACTCACACACTATAAGACGCTGATACTACCCGCACTGTTGTATGGATCTGAAGCTTCAGTACTTGCGTAAGCAGATGAGGCAGTTGTTGGAGTGTTTGACAGAAAATTTATCCGGAAGATCTATGGGCCGATCTGCGAATCCGATCGAAAGATTAAATGGAAGTCAACATTTCGAAACTGGGACTTTCAAATTGGAAAAGCTGCGCAAAAGATCGACGTGCCTGGAAATCTTTTTTAAGCTCGACTTGTGAAATAAATGTTCTGTCACAAGCTAGCTAAGTAAGTAGGTGATGTCAAATTACTTACGAACTCACAAGGTCAAATTCGCCATAGGTCAAGTTTTTGAGTTATACCGTGATAATTATTTTGCTGGTAACTCTAAAGACCACGATAAAGGTTTCATATTTTTGTTTGCGAATATTGCGATAACAAGTTTGCAGTTAAATCGAATGTGGAATATTTTTGTAAAACATATCCTCCTTCTATCAGGAGTTCTTGTGCTTAACCTAAATACCACAAGACGAAATTTGTTGTGAAATTTAATTTTCAGTAAAATTTGAACTTTAATTTCAGTAAAATTTAATCTAAGTTTGAAAAAAATATTCCCATGTTTGCATGAAATCGCTTACTCCCATCGAGTTGGTCTACAGAATCTTGTGGGAGTAAAACCAATATATATTTTTCTTTATGAACTGATGCTAAAAAATACAAAATCCTTGCAATTCTCTGCAATAAGTTGATTCATCCCACCCTAATATATGATGTATTTGGGTTATTAACACGACACCTGTTCGGAAAAGTAATTACTTGCCTACCGGATTATTGTTTATCTTAACACCTATACACCTCATTTCTATCGAAAAATTAGTTAGCACACTAAGTTCAGAATATTTAATAATCCTCCATAATACCCACCCCTTAGCAATACTACAACAACTACAACCAAACATTACCCACTTAAAACTCATTGTCTGGTATTATGATTTATAACACCGCAAATGCTCAGTTGGATGCTTGGTTTTGTTTTCATAATTTTTATTAAATTTTTAGCTACCAAATCACAAAACACTCTGTCTCTCTCCCCCATGTTTTCGAGGCACATATGGACAGATTTTTTCGGAAATATCTACTTGTTTGCCGCCATATGACAAATGATGAGTTGGTACAACAAACAAACAGACAAACAAAAGCTCTGTGACACCAAATTAAACATATTTGCGGATTTTCAAGAAGCGGCAGCAGTCAGTTATACGCAAAGGAAGATATCCTGCCATGAACCAAAGTAGAAGAAAAAAATCCCTGGAAGCTTTCAAGTGTGAAATTGAATGATTAGCAAAAATATTACAAACAAAAACAAAAGGGAGGAAGTAAAACAGCAAGTGGCAACAAGGCGAAGAGAAAAAAGCAAAGTTAGAGAAACAGAAGAAAGTTGACATTTTGAACTCCACCCCCGCTCTATCGCAAAGGACTTACTCCACAAGGCGTTAATTTGATAATGATGGATATGTCAGCTGAATAGACATCGTATTATAATTTAATGAAATTAGCATAACCTCGGTGGAGATAAAAGCAAAATGATTTCCCCATAGATCAAATAAATATGGAATATTTCGAACAATATGTGACAAATTAAAAACAAAAAACAAATCTCATAACCACAACATTTTAAAGACTTCGTAAACGAATTATAAAAAAATAAATTTCGGTTTTTATCAAATCAAATCTTTATGGTTTTATATTACCCAAACACTCAGGCAAGCAGGGAAAGCAACTTCATTTCACAATTTGATAATACATCAAACGATATACCAGCAAGCATGCGGACAGACCAACCGACAATGATGGTACTTTTCCAATCAGAAAATCAAAGCTAAGACCATCACAGATTTCCTTTCTACAGTTTACAATCATTCAACATGCTAAAATTCAAACAATCATCATCAGCACCATCAGAAACCAGTCGAATATACAGAAAACCAAACATACATCAATTTATCCACCCAACTCAAACCTCCCACCCTCTTCTCCCCTGCTTCAGGAAAAAGTACCCAATTACACATTTCCAACCAAAGTATAGCAGCCACAAACAGCAGCAATTTCATCCCATTTCTTGAAATTGGTCGGACAACAGCACATCATCCTCGTTCTCGTCGAACTCGTCCCCGACCCCGTCCTCATCGCCATTATCGTCCTCATCATCAACATGTCCTCTCATCTTCATCTGTGCTGTTGTTGTCTATTACACGGAATGATTAAGTAAAGCCAACCATTTCTACCCAGCCAAAACAAATGCAGAGCCAGCGAGGGTGGGTGGCAGTAAACCGAAACAGTCAAAACAAGAAATCAAGATAAAATGCGAAATTCAATATGTCAAAAAATAGATTACAGACCAATTATGTGCTCTTTAAGGGTTGCCATCACATACAATTTGTCCTGCGTCCTTTTGTGCCCTTGCCGTCAGTGAGTCCCCTGTTTTTAAATGGAAATAACAGCGGTGATTATGCCGAGGATGATGATGTTACTGCCACTGGTGGTGAGTGTGTGCTCTGGCTGGTTGACTGGCTGTGTGGTACTTTGCGGATGGATGGTTGGTTGGTTTGTTGGATGGATGGGCAAAGATGATGAGTACGATAATGTTGTTGTGTATTTGTTAAAAGCATCATTACTATTGAGCTATACAAAGCAATAACAACACCAATTATCGGACAGGGTGGTGGATTTTTTAGGAGGGCCGTTGAAAAATTATACTTTAAAAAATCCACGCCTTAGATACTTATTTAGCTGGCTTGTGACAGAACTTTCCTTCCATAATCAAAGCTTAAACCAGTAAGGAAAGTGGTAAAGTCGGACGGGCCGACTATATGATATCCTTCACCACTTTAGGTATATTCATCAGATGGAATCCTAACAGACGTTGCGTTTTTGAAGGACCATTAACATGAAATTAAACATGTCATTCTGCAACCTATACGAATTTTTGGTCAGATATAAAGTCGCTTCTTACAATGGGACAATATTATGTAAATAAATTTAAAGCAAGATATCGAAATCTAAACCGATTTCATCCAAACTTGTCACATGTTAGGTTAAACTTATATCAGTATGTTTTGTGCATTAGGCCACATTTTGAGTACTTCATATAAAATTTCGTGCAAATCGAAGAATATATAGGGTCTTTGGTTTACCATTTACATAAAATCGGACGAAAATATATATGGGAGCTATATCTAAATCTGGACCGATTTTCACGAAACTTTGCACACATCATTCCAGACTCAATTCTGTACGCCAAATTTCGTGCAAATCGAAGAATATATAGGGTCTTTGGTTTACCATTTACATAAAATCGGACGAAAATATATATGGGAGCGATATCTAAATCTGAACCGATTTTCACGAAACTTTGCACACATCATTCTAGACTCAATTCACTACGCTATGCAAAATTTCTTGCAAATCTAATGATATATAGGGACATTGGTGCAGCATTTACATAAAATCGGACGAAAATATATATGGGAGCTATATCTAAATCTGGAACGATTTTCATGAAACTTAGCACACATCGTTCAATACTTAATTCAGTTCGCTTTGCCAAATTTCGTGCAAATCGAAGTATATATAGAGACTTTGGTACACCATTTACCTGAAATCGGACAAAAATATATATGGGAGCTATATCGAAATCTGAACCGATTTTCAGGAAACTTGACACACATCATTCTAGACCTAATTCATTACGCTGTGCCAAATTTCGTACAAATCGAAAGATATATAGGGACTTTGGTACACAATTTACCTTAAATCGGACGAAAATATATATAGAAGCTATATCCAAATCTGAACCGATTTTCACGAAACTTTGCACACATCATTCTAGACCTAATTCATTACGCTGTGCCAAATTTCGTACAAATCGAAAGATATATAGGGACTTTGGTACATAATTTACCTTAAATCGGACGAAAATATATATTCGAGCTATATCCAAATCTGAACCGATTTTCACGAAACCTTGCACACATCATTCTAGACCTAATTCATTATGCTGTGCCAAATTTCGTGCAAATCGAAAGATATATAGGGACCGTTTACATTAAATCGGACGAAAATATATATGGGAGCTATATCTAAATCTAAACAGATTTTTCCCTTGGTTCGTCCTTGGGCCAAATAAGTGACCTATGCCAAATTTCATCTACTTCGGAGTATAAATGCGACCTGTACTTTGTTTACAATTTAACATCGACAGACGGACGGACGGACGGACATGCATAAATCGACTCAGAATGTGATTCTATGCATATTCTCAAAAGGAACCATGTGTCTATCTTGTTTCCTTTTGCCTGTTACAAACATATGCACAAAGACATATTCGTGGCCATCCCCTTCTGCGTGAACCATCAGCTGGTTCGCTTTTATATAGATTCTGGGCTAGGGCATCTTCACCATTCTCACAACATGATCTAGCCAACGTAGTCGCTGCAGCTCAATACGTCTAACAATGCCGATGTCCGAGAATAGCTGGTACAACTCATGGTTCATTCGACGGCGATATTCACCGTCAACGCAGATCGGCCCATAGATCCTTCGGAGAATTTTTCTCTCAAACACTCCAAGAGCTGCCCCATCTTCTTGCTTAAGTACCCCTGCTTCTGATCCATATAACAGCACGGGTAGTATCAGCGTGTTGTAGAGTGTAAGTTTGATCTGGCGGGAGGTGGCCTTTCTTTTGAGTTGTTTGCTCAGACCATAGTAGAATCTGTTGGACATCACAATTCTTCTCCGAATTTCAAAACTGATGTCATTAGTTCTATTTATGGCGGTACTAAGGTAAATAAAATCTTTGACTACCTCGAAGCTGTCGTTCTCAAGATCCACAGTTGGTCCGAGTCTACTGGACGTCTTGCGCGTTGATACCATATGCTTGGTCTTCTCGCAGTTTACTACCAGACCCACTTTGGCAGACTCCTTCCCAATTTGTTCAAAGGTGGCTGTTACCGCTCTCAATGGTCGGCCCGTTATGTCGATGTCATCGATGTAGGCGATTAACATGTGTTGTTTGGTGTACAGAGTGTCATTTCTGTTCACCTTTGCCTTTCGTATGGCCTTTTCCAGCAGGATGTTAAAAAGGTCAAACTGTCATCTTGCCGGAATCCTCGTTCTGTATTAAAAGGCTTCGAGAGGTCCTTTCCGGCTTTAACTGCTGATTTTGTGCCTGTTAAAGTTATCCTGCATAGCCGAATTATTTTTTTCAGGAATGCCAACCGCAGGCATGGCCTTAATCACCTCTGAACGGATAGGACTGTCGAATGCGGCTTTATAGTCGACGAATAGGTGGAATGTGTCGATGTGTTTTTTGTGGGGGTTTTTCCAGGATTTGGCGCAGAGTGAAAATCTGGTCAATGGTGGACTTGCCAGGTCTGAAGCCGCATTGGTATAGTCCAATAATGTCATTGGCTTCAGTCGTATACACAGCACGCTGGATAGCACTTCATATGCGATGGGAAGCAGACTTATTCCTCTATATATATATATATAATTCTTTTAATTCTTCAACCGATTGATTGCTATTCTGACCTTATCTTGGCTAGGCGGTAAACACTCTATACCGTCATCTATTATTGGTTTTGGGGTATCCTATACATCGCTAAATTGAAACAATATTATATAGTCCTTGAAAAAATATTCTTTAAGAAATCCACGCCTTAGATAGTCATTGAAAAAATATTCTTTAAGAAATCCACGCCTTAGATAGTCATTGAAAAAATATTCTTTAAGAAATCCACGCCTTAGATAGTCATTGAAAAAATATTCTTTAAGAAATCCACGCCTTAGATAGTCATTGCAAAAATATTCTTTAAGAAATCCACGCCTTAGATAGTCATTGAAAAAATATTCTTTAAGAAATCCACGCCTTAGATAGTCATTGAAAAAATATTCTTTAAGAAATCCACGCCTTAGATAGTCATTGAAAAAATATTCTTTAAGAAATCCACGCCTTAGATAGTCATTGAAAAAATATTCTTTAAGAAATCCACGCCTTAGATAGTCATTGAAAAAATATTCTTTAAGAAATCCACGCCTTAGATAGTCATTGAAAAAATATTCTTTAAGAAATCCACGCCTTAGATAGTCACTGAAAAAATATTCTTTAAGAAATCCAAGCCTTAGATAGTCGTTGAAAAAATATTCTTTAAAAAATCCACGCCTCTTATAATCCTCGAAAAAATGTTTTCTAAAAAACCCAGGCCTCTTATAGTCTTCGAAAAAATGTTCTCTAATAAACTCACGCCTTTTATAGTCCTCCAAAAAATGTTCTTTAAAAAACCCACGCCTTAGATAGTCGTTGAAAAAATATTTGTTAAAAAATACAAGTATCCCCCTCGCTATATACAACGACCTACGCCACTGATTATTGGCAACATTAATTGAGTTGTTACTTGGTAGCTATTAGTACCAAATTCGTAGCATTGAATAAGCTTTGATTGTGTGCTTGTGTGTGTGTATTTTTGTTGTGCTAGCATTACAAAGAAATGTTTGGTGGAAGGGGATGTGTATGAGGACGGTGAGGGAGAAAGGAATTTCAGTGATTTAATCGACACCATAGTGTTATGTTTATTTCCGTTCCACATAGTAATATTATTTCCTTATTTCCTCGGATCTTCGCCATGATTCAGCAGTGGTGTGTCCTTTTGAACATACGGTGCAATTTGATAACGAAAATACAAGATTCTTTGTTATTGTTGCAAATAAACATATATTGGATGAGCGAAAAGTAGGAAAAGAAGAGAGAATGAAAGTGTATTTATAAAACATTCAAGATAAATAATATGTATTATAAGCAATAACATTTTAAGAGTTAGACTGGTAAAGCCAGGACTCTCTCAAGGACTACCAAAGGCGTAGATTTTTTAAAAATTATTTTTCAAGGACTTACAGGAAATACGATGAAACGGGACTGGCGTAAGTAAATCAGATGATTACGCCCTGTATTATAGCTGCCATGAAACGAGACATGAATTTGGCTGCGGATTTATGGTTAACAGGAGAATAAAAGACCTCGTCTCCAGATTCACTCCAGTAGATGAGCGAATTGCTATAATCCGCATAAAAGCGAAGTTCTTCTACATCAGTCTTATTTGCGCCCATGCTCTGACCGAAGACACATATGAACAGACCAAAGACATTTTTTATGAACGCCTAGAAGCAGCATATGATCGCTGCCCTGGCCATGACATTAAAATTCTACTAGGAAATTTTAATGCAAAAATCGGAAGGGAAAATTCAGCCATCATGAAGTGGTTGAGATTGATTGACTTCGCGGTAGAAAAAACATGGTAGTTAGCATCTCTATATACACAAAGCACCTGGATTTCTCCTGATCAAACAACGAGAAGTGAAATTGATCATGTTGTGATAGACGGAAGGCATTCATCCAGTGTATTTGCCAAGGTTCGCACTCGTCTTATTGTTGCAGCAAAAGTGCGATCTATCACATCACGGAAACTCGACGTCGAAAAGCTGCAAACA